CAAAGCGGTGTATTAATTCTCATGACATTTCTCATGACAAAGTGGTGCATTATTCCGGATCTTGCTTACCTCCAGCACTCTTGCATTCACGCATTAAGCCACGTTCACGCCCTTTTTCAGGGAAGATAAAGCAAAAACTAGAATCCACACGTGCTGACTTACAGTTCTGCGCTGTAAAAAGTGGGCTATTGTTTTTAAACAAACGCGGGCCCGGGGTAGTCCAGACTTGCTCACAGGCGGCCGGAGCACCAGCGTCACCTCTGTGGCCGCAGCCTGGCCAACGCTCGTGCGTCCCGCGGTGCCGTCGGGGCCCCGCGCGTGGAAGCGCCACAGACCACGCTTCCCAGGAGATGCCGAGCTCTCCTGGCTTTTTGGCTTACCTTGCTTCAGAGAGCCCCCCAAAATGCGGGCAAATATTTTGGGGCGGTCGCCGGCCCCAGCAGGTGGCCTCTAGGAGTGCCCATCGCAGCCACGTTCAGGCGAGCGGCTGGCAGCGACCGTTACGCAACGGTCTTGTGACGGCCACAGCCACCCTACGGGGGCGTGAAGGGCCAGGAGCACGTCCAGAGGGCGGGGCCCAGGGGCTTGCCACCCACGCCGTGGTCTTCGTGCTCATGTGCCTCCTTTCCTACCGTGATTCCCAAGAAATGGCCACATAGCCAGGCAGGCCGGCGACGAGAAGGGAGGGAGGCTCGCCTCTGTGGGACGCTTTCTCCTCCCCTGCCGGGCTCGCAGAAAGATTCCCAAGAAATGGCCACATAGCCAGGCAGGCCGGCGACAGAGAAGGGAGGGAGGCTCGCCTCTGTGGGACGCTTTCTCCTCCCCTGCCGGGCTCGCAGAAAAGAGTTCATGCCAAGCGCCCGGATGTGGGCTCCGTGTAAAATAGATTATTTTGAGGACATTCTTCTTCAGGGTGAGCCGAGTCAGTGATTCTTGGCCACGTGAGAAGACCCTTCATTTCTTCTTAAAATACGGCCACCCCCTTCTGATCACTTTTACCTTCTGATCTCTAACCCTACTTCCCCACCAGAAACCCCAAAAGTTTCTGGTTCCACTTACTGATTTCTTGTTAAAGATGCAGGTTAATTTCATCAGACCTTCAAACTACCTTATGCTTTGTGTTCATGACTGCTGGCTCTATGTTAGAAATTCCTCCCTGCTTGCCCTAGTAGCTTACAAAGAAATAACATACTGATGAAGGAATATAGCCGCTAGTCCCTCTCCTTCCTTGCCCATATCTAGTTGTCAATTTCACTGGATCTTTACTTTACCATTTGCTATGGTTGCAATGTCCCCCAAAATTCATGTGTTGAAACTTAATCCCCATTGTGGTGGTATTAAAAGATGTTGACGTTGAGGACATGATTAAATCATGAGAGCTGTGCTTTCATGAATGGATCAGTGCCTTATAAAAGGCCTGAAGGGAATTAGCTTAGGCCTCTTTTGCTCTTCCATTGCTTCTGCTGGTGCCTTGATCTTGGACTCCCAGCCCCCAGAACTGTGAGAAATAAATTTCTGTCCTTTACAAATTACCTAGTCTCTGGTATTTTGTTATAGTAGCACAAAAGGACTAAGACACCATTCATTCATCTCTCTGCTGCTCTGTCTCCCAATACCACTATTCTAAGACCCCAGCTTCCCACCTAGTTTCTGCCCACCATCTCATTTCCAAGCCATCCTGTTTTCTTTACCAGGTTAATCTTCCCCCTCCAACCAAACTTAACTACCAAGATAAAAATCTCCCATAATTCCCTCAGTGACTAAAAGATGAAATCTAAACACAATCTAGTACTCAAGGCTGCCCTCATCTAATTATGCAATTCCAAATCACTCATCTCACTTTCAACTTCATTGAACCCCCTACCATAGGCAGTCCAGTTCATCTACTGGAACAAACTGAGAGCATTTTCCACCTTTATACCTTTCCCTACAGAGTTCCCTTTCTTTTCCAGATCTTGCCAGGGTCCAGCTTAAGAGGTCCAGTACTGCAATCAGCAGAACAGGGGTCAAATCCTGTCCTTGGGTAAATTACATAACATCTGTAAACTTCAATTTCCTCATCCCATGTCATAAATTAAATTACTCAAATATGTGCAAAGAGCTTTTCTCTGGCACCTAGTAAGTACTTCATTACCTAATATACTCTACCACCTGCTCCTCCTAACCCCACTCCATCCCAAGAATAACCTTTATTTCTGCCCTTCTGGACTTTGTACTATGAACTAAATATTTATTCACTGAACAACCTATTATATCCAGGTGTAGTGGAACATACATAATTTTTTTTTTTTGGCTATCAAGGACATTGTACAATCACATGAAGTCTAATGGAGAAATTCATCCTAATTCTAAGGAGAAAGTTTTGCTTTCCTTAAAGAATTAACTTTTTTTTCTTTCAAAAACAATCTAAGCAAATGACCTTCTCGCTTTGGTTGCCAGAATACTCAGTTCGCATCCCTATATGAAAGGTTCTGATATGTGGCATATCAGAACAAGGCACTCGATCTTCAGAACTAGAACATGCTCTTCTAGCACTTTCTCTTTACTCAAGTGCTGATTTGTATATGTGTCTTTGGTTTTCTATTTTATTGTGTCTTGTAAGCTATCTTGAATAATTTTTGAGACATGATGGAGTTAAAATAGATAGGTATTGTCTATTATAACAGAAGAAATATATTCTAATTTATTTGATTGTGATCCTACTTTCCCATTTCTGGAAATGAAGTGACAGATCCTGCAGGGGATGAAATGAAAATCTATAGGCAGTTGTGAAGCAGTGGAATCATATCAACTAACATTTATTGAACATTGACTGTATGGCAGGCTCTGTTTTATCATTTTACATGAATTAATTCACTCATTCCTTACAACAGTCTCATAAGTGGAGAGTCAGGAGTCCAGCATCCCAGGAGCTTTAAAGGAGTCCATCCAAAGAGTTAGTTATGTACACAATTCAAGGTAGGACTAAAAAGGCCAAAATATCCATGAGGTTATCTCACCATTCAAAAGACTAAAAAGATGGCACCATTAAATTAAACCCTCCTGGTTGAGATTAAAACTAGAGTCCAGGCCTGCATTGTGTTATGTACTAGATGGAGCTTAAAAGAGATTTAAGATGATTTCCAACTTCAAGGTAACTTATGAAAAAAAAAAGCATCTGAAAGAATCAGAAAACAGAATAGAAATTGTCTAATGCAGAAGAATGATGCAAACCACCACTACACAGGATTTCTAAGAAGGTAGGGGACTTACAAGTATCACAGAAGAGGCGCAGAAGAATGACGCAAACCACCACTACACAGGATTTCTAAGAAGGTAGGGGACTTACAAGTATCACAGAAGAGGCAGGACATGAGCAGAGTCTTTTAAAAAGGGTGAACAGAATTTTTAGAAAAACAAAGAGTAAAACAGAACACGTAAAAGTGTGCCACAGAACAGTTTGAAAAGAAGCCAAGTGTGAGAAGGTGTAGTAGGGACAAAGGATAGGCCTATCAACGTGCACTATCTGTTTTGGGAAGTGATAGGAAATAAGTAAATAGATCCAACTGTAAAAGACGGAGTTTATGGAGTTTGAAATTTCTCTTAGGGGCACTGGGAAACTGTAGACTGTTTTTGAATGAAGTGGTAGTTTAGTTAGACAGCTAGGTAAAGACAGGCAGACAAGGGCAGCAATGATATATTGAGTAATCTAGACTAAAGATACTGAAAACTTGGCAGCAACAATAGGAATACGAGAAAGAAATCAGTTATTAAGCCATTTCAAATAAGGTCTAACAGACTGATTACAGAGGACAGAGAGAAATCAGTAAGCAATAATTACAGGGTATTTAACGTGTACTTAGCACTTTGTGATACTTCATATGAAATGAAATGAAAATAAGATTTCTGTCTTCATAAGCTTATACACTAGTTGAATTACCTCAAGTATAACCTGATAAAATGAGATTATTGTGGTCTAACCCTTTCTCAGAATCACAGAGCTGATCGTTATTAATCAGAGAAGTGCTGTGAGGTAGGAAAAGTGTAGATCAGCACAGAATCATGGATCTTAAAAGAAGCTCAAATTTTAAGGCATAAGAGTGGCCAAAAGTCCAATTCTGCAAATGTCAAGTAGGAAAAGAACTGAGAAACAAGCACTAGTCTGTCCTTGAGAGATCAGCCTTATAAGACTGGCGAGGATCAAAGCCAGAGGGTATAAGTTTCATGATCTCTGCAAACAAAAGAAAAGTTTGAAAAAAAATAGGGCAGCAATTGGAATCAATATGTTTCCTCAAGATAATGAAGGAACTAAAGGTCTCCAAGATTTTTAGGATCTTCTTGGTAAAGATCGATAAAGTAACACTAAAATTAGTTAGGCACATTAGTAAAACTATGGGCTATATATACTTTGAGGAAAAATGCTACAGCAAAAAGGGTGAGGGAGAGAGACAAGAAAAATCTGTCTTTATAAGTCAAGAGATTGAATTTGCCTCAACATTATTATCGCCAAACAAAACTGATGAGAAGTGTTTGGTCCTGCTCTGAAGCCAGCTCCCTCTCTTGTGCTACTGGACCCAGCAAATATGAAAACACAGACAGGATTTCCTCTTTAAGTGAAGGAGCTGATGTGGTTGGGGAACGGAGGATTCACTGGTTGTTCAGGGAACCAAGCCCCATGGAATAGTTAAGGAGAGAAATTGCAAAGTGTCAGGTAGCTGTATAATCTAAGGTTGGAGCCCTTCAGAATGTTAGATTGAATATATTAGGTTTTTAAAGTCATCCCTTTGTTGTACTGATCACTCATTTGGGAAGGAAGGGAAGGGGAGGGAGGGAGGAATGGGGGGGAGAGAGAGAGAGGAGGAAGAGGAGGAGGAGGAGGAGGAGGGAGGGAGGGAGGAAGGAAGGAAGGAAGGAAGAGAGAAAGGAGGGAAAGAAGAAAAATTTGAAACTGGTATAGCTAGCAAATTGAAGGAAAAATTAAAGTACATATATGTTTATTTTTTCAGCTGTGGGAGATTGTACGCATGTGCTCTTGAGCTAACACTAATAAAAATGTGGATATCACTCTTTAGTGTGAAGTTGCTGATGTCTGATGAGTGTTGAACTCTGACTGAAGGCTTTTCCACAGTCATTACATTTGTAAGGCTTCTCCCCTGTATGAGTTCTCTGGTGAATCATAAGGGATGAGCTCCGACTGAAGCCCTTTCCACATTCTTGACATTCATAGGGCTTTTCTCCAGTATGGATTCTCTGATGTTCAGTAAGGGATGAGCTTCGACTGAACACTTTCCCACAGTCATTGCACTCATAGGGATTCTCCCCAGTGTGTGTCCTTTGATGTTCAATAAGAGACGAAATCCAACTGAAAGCTTTGCCACATTTACTGCATTCATAGGGGTTCTCTCCAGTGTGTATACGTTGATGCTGAATTATGGTTGAACGGTCACTGAAGGCTTTCCCACATTCATTACATTTGTAAGGCTTTTCTTGAGTATGAGTTCGCTGATGTTGACTAAGGTTAGTGCTTCGGCTAAAGGCTTTTCCACATTCACTACATTCATATGGTTTTTCTCCAGTATGGATCCTCTGATGTAGACTAAGATGTGCACTCCGGCTAAAAGCTTTTCTGCATTCACTGCATTCATAAGGTTTCTCTCCGGTGTGAGTTCTTTGATGTTCAATAAGATGTGTACTTCGGCTGAAAGTTTTCCCACATTCATTGCATTCAAAAGGTTTTTCTACACCATGAATTCTACTGTGTACAAGAAGGTCTGATTGGTAACTAAAGACTTTCCCACATCCATTGCATTTATAAGGTTTCTTGTGTGGGAAGATTTTTTGGTGTTTAATTATGTCTGAATTATCTTTAGAGTTTTTCCCAGATATGGGGGATCTATTTCCCTTTGGAATCTGTTGTGTATGAATGTTTGAGTTTAGACTAAATTCACTGGATTCAGGGCCTCCCTCCCCAGTGAAAATTTCCTTGAGCATCATTGACACTTTTCTGATTGCTGTTTTCTCAAAAGAGGATTTCTTCTGTGCAGAACACTTTGTCTGCCTTGATAACTGGCCCTCACTTTTACAGGCTTCTTCATTTGTAGAACCCTGGGCAGTGTTCCCTCTGAGACTCTCCATTGCTGACCCTGAAAACTCTAGTTCTTCAGAAACAGCCTGATTGGTGTTCATCCTTTGGTTCAGTTCAAATCTCCCTATCTGAAAGACATTTAAAGTGCAAATGTCACCTGTGTCTACTGTGGAGAGCAAGGAAAATAAACCAGCAGAACCAATTTGCAGTTCAATACACTAGCAACTTTAGATGGGTAGAGAACAAAAAAGAATAGTGGAGGAGAAGTGAACAAACCCAGAGGAGATAAGAGGCAGAGTTTTTGCAATGGGCATGTTGAGTGCAGAGACATTGAGAAATAGGGGAAGAGGGATTAGGTAATATGCTAAGCCAAAAAAGTGGAAATGAGCAGATATACCAGCTGATGAGCATAGAGTAAAATGACCTGTCATGGTAGCCAACTAGTCATGGGGAATGAGAGTAAGGAGAAGGATAAGAAGAGTAAAGACTCTGAAGTGTAAGGAGGAAAAAAAAAAAAAAAAGCAAAAAGGAAGGATGACTCAATCAAGCTTAAATGCAACCATTTTCTTGGCATTGATAAAGGACAAAAATTTCAGAAATGCTAATTACCATACTGCTATCTCCATTTGCCCCACAACCTTTCTTCTGACTAGTTTAATTATTCTTCTAAATAAGTCTACAACCACAGACTACCAGATACAATAGAACTTAGGGCTCATCTAGGCCAACTCGCTCATCTTACAGACAGGAAGACTGAGTAAGTTGCTGAGGTCACCCGGCAAATTGCAAGGGCTTAGACTAGAACTTGTCTCCTAAATAACACATTGATGGTCTTTTTATGACACCACCACTCACCTAGACAGGTGTTTGGGGGCAATCCCCTCTTCAGCTCCCTGAAGATCCAGCATCAACAGTTGTTCTGCCTCCAACTCAGTGATCAGGTCCAATTTGTATTGCTGGTATTCCTGCTGATTGGAAATGATTTACACAAGGTTGTTGGTGCTGGAGAGACAAAGCTATTCAGAGCTCCATTGCTTAATCTCAATGCTTTTATCTATAGAAAACGTAGTGTGAACTTTCACAGGGGCTGTGGCAGCAGGAGCTGAAGAAAATGGATATCTGAAAGGGGTTAAAATTGGGCTCCAAAAGACAAGTTACTTACACACACACACACATAATCAGAATCACTTATGGAACTTGTTACTCCAGGTACTGAGGCCTTGCCTTGGACCTAGTAAATCTGATACTCAAGCATTTATAATTTAATAAGTTCATGTGACCTGACAAGTTGAATATTCTAAGAGCCTTAGAAACACACTCTAGGTTGCCTGAACAAAGTGCTAGCTGGAACCAGTCCCCCTCCTCCCAACATTTTTACAGCAGGAGGCTCTAAAACACAAACTCTGCTTAGAGACTTCTTTCCTCTGCAGAGGGGCCAAAACTTCTGAAGGACCTCAAGCTTCCCAGGTACAGGAAGCTAGCTTTCCCAGACGACTCCTGCTAAAAAACCAGCACCTCACATTCATACTGCCTGGCACCAAGCAGTATGCTTATCTACCCACTGACAAGATAGTTGTTACACTTGCTTTATAAGGGAGAACAACAGGCAGCAAGACCCTCTCCTGGAATACTAACCTATACTGAGTGTTCAGCAGAGCATCTTGGCTCCAGCAACCTTTCTATTGGAAAATGGGAAGATGTAGGAACCTGTGCCTTTTCTTCTTGCCCATCTCTGCACTCTAAGTTTCCCCATTAAAGTTGGTTGTTTAACCCATACTCTTGTGAATTCATTCAGAGCCTTTGTGCATGATAGGAAAAAATGAACTGTATACTAATTATCCAAATGTTTCTGCTCACAGCACAATTTGAGTTCCAGTGGGTTAGGCAGTTGATCTGGTTTCACAGTTCTTTCTTTTCTCATAGACAGGGAACCTCCCTGATGTGGAGGTGAACCTTGGAGGATATCCACCAAGAAGCCATGCATTGAGAACCTTGAGAGCAACAGGATGATACTGTCTGTACAGCTTTGCCAAGAACATGCCTTTCAACTGGAAACGGAACACAAAAGCCCTACCACTGGGTTGACTGGGGAATCAGAATTTCTAATTTATTTTGGAACTCTGCATTAAAATCCAGTTGTATACTTTGATGCCAACATTCCTTAATAGGAATTTGCCTTGCTAACTTGGGTGGCCTCCATTCTTGCAGCCCAGACCCTTAAGCTTCTCTATTGTTATCTTGTTGGCAGTTCACTTGTGATTTCTCTCTTTTATTATGGTGACCCTCAAGGCAGTAGTACTACGTCCTAGAGAGAGTTGCAGGAACTTAGGTTTTTTGGGTTGTCACAATGATTGGAGGGTGCCATTGAAATTCAGTGGGTGCCAAGGATGCTAGACACTCCTGCAGAATAAAAAATTGTCCTTCATCCTGCCTGTTTTTCACAAAAGCTGTTAATAATTATTAAAGCTAGAACCTAATACCAACTTTACATATAAATACAAACTATTTTGCACAGCTTTAATATATACTGGAGTGTCAAGGAAATATACATTTTTTTGTTTGAATGTTATTAAGAATTGTTCACCATTTCAGGAAAATGAAACCACTCATGGTATTAGATTCACAAATACAGTGTTCACATTCACAGCAACATAGATGAGTCCAGAAGACATTGTTAAGTGAAGTAAGTCAGGCACAAAAAGATAAACACCACATGTTCTCACTCATATGTGGGAGCTAAAAAGTGAGCCCACAGAAGTAGAGAATAGAATTGAGATTAGTAGAGACTGGGAAGGTTGGGGGGAGGGGGGTAGATAGGGGTTGGTAAACGGGTACAGAATTACATGTAGAATTACAATGTATAGGTTTTTAGAGGCAAAGAGAAACCAGATGATCTGAAATTTGAAGGTCTTTGAAAATTGTCTCACCAGGACCATTAAAACGTAGAATAAGTTCTAGTATTCCATAGTAGTACTAAGTGCTTATAATTTACAATAATTTATTGTATTTTCAAATGGCTAGAAGAGAGGAGTTCAAATGTTCTCCTCACAAAGAAAGGATAAATGTTTGCAGTGATGGATTTGCTAATTAGCCTGATTTGATTATTAAACAGTGTATACAGGTATTATTACTCTGTACCCCATAAATATGTATAATTATGTGTCAATTAAAAAATAAAATAAGAAAACAGACATAAGTCAGTCTGCATTTGTAGTCGCTGTATTTGCAGTGATTTTAATAGGTGTACACAACTCTTTCATCATTTTCACCAATCATCTACATGCTGAAATACATATTCTGTTACAAATCACTTTCCTTTTTTTCTTTCTCCTTTATGTTACAGTTAAAGTAATATATTGATATTTTGGAAATTATGTCTACAGGTGCCTAACATTATCTACAAATTTTATTTCAGGATAGGGGATGGTAGCTCTGAAGGGTTGAGAAATACTTCTTTAGTGCAACGGAACTAAACTATTGACAGTTACATGATAGATAAATAGTGCATCTCTCAGTTGGTAAATTACAAACCCTCTAAAAGCAAAAGTCCTTATCCCCAAAAGAAGTCCTTGAAAATTTGAGAACACCCACACTGCCATAAAGGTGATGTGGGACTAATGGAAATATTGTATATAGTGGAATATTATTATATTATCACATATATTCCATCCTGGAGAAGATATATAGTTAGGAAACGTTTAGGTTTATGGAGGCAAAGGGAAACCAGGAAGATCTGAAATTTGAAGGTCTTTGCAAATTGTCCCACTAGAACCATTAGAACATAGGATACCTAAACGTAGGCAGAATATACTGAACAGAAAAACAGAGTTCAAAGTATATGGCCAGTTTGAAGTTTAGGGTCACTCTCATGCTTATTAATACCTTAATGATTGTTCAACTATGCCAATTTGATATGAGATTATCTATAATTCAACTAATGTATATATACTGTGTAGTACAAGAGTCTCAAAACAGTTGCTTTTGCATTTCAAATAAGCTCATTATATGTATTACTGTATTATCCATTATGTATGTTTGTGTATGTGACACTTATGATAGACACATAGAAACTCCACTGGGAAAGTTTCCACGTTAAAAAAAAAAAAAAAAAAGGGAACCTCTGAAAAGAACCTAACTTGGAAGTACGGTCTCTGGGAATGGCCCTTCTTTGGGTCTGCCTATTCTAAGCACTTTATGAATACTGATACATTTATTCCTCACAAAAACTCTGTGAGAGGGGTATTATTATTATTCCCATAATACAAAGAAAGAATTTGAGGTACAGAGAGGTTAAGTAATTCTGGACAAAGCCAAATGATATATCTTGGAGTCAGACTCACTACACTATGCAGTACCTGCTGCTTCTCAACGGGCAAGGAATGAATACCTGAGTCTCACCTTCCATTCTTGTGGCCCTTAATGGTCAAGAAACTAAACTCCACTCATTTCAGAAGGATACCAGCACGACCTTGACTTCAAAGTGCCCTAAGGGTTTAGAGGATGACTAAAGGTAGTCCTTGCAAGGCTGCAGTAAGTCACAACCACCCCTAAAAGCACTATCTATGTAACTTAAAGATTACATTCTCTGGTCCCCACTGAAGTGCAAGTGGCATCTTTGGCACAATTCAGTGAAGCAGAAGATAGAGTCCCCGTGGGATAAGCATTGACCAGGTAATCTGGATTTTGGTCACAGCTCTGTTGGTAGCTATACAGAAACCAGGAGAAAATAACCAATATGGTTTTATCTCCCTTCATCTGTAAAATGAAGGTGTCGGGCTTGCATGTTTGGTCCAAAGCTATATGATTCCTAGTAGTTTAATTTTAGATCTCAAACTCTGAGGTGCATCTGCCTAGACTAAGGGGATAAAACTAAAATAAACTTACTCTTTTTCAAATCCCCACAGCCATGTAAGTGCCTAAAGATCCCTGTTTCAGGCAAAATCATTCAATAAATATGCTAATAAAGCTATGTTTTTTTAATTGCCTAATGATGAATTAGAGTGGGGGAGTGTTGAGGAAGACATTAAGGGGAGTCAGCTGGCAAATAAAGAATAGTCTGGAACAAATTTGAAAAGCTAATAAAGCTATGTTTTTTTAATTGCCTAATGATGAATTAGAGTGGGGGAGTGTTGAGGAAGACATTAAGGGGAGTCAGCTGGCAAATAAAGAATAGTCTGATACTGGGCAAAATTTGTCAGGCTCATCTAAGAAGGGAAGTTCTGTGAAAAGAGAAATAAATGTGAAAGAATAGTCTGGGCAAAATTTGTCAGGCTCATCTAAGAAGGGAAGTTCTGTGAAAAGAGAAATAAATGTGTTGAAAAGCTAATAAAGCTATGTTTTTTTAATTGCCTAATGATGAATTAGAGTGGGGGAGTGTTGAGGAAGACATTAAGGGGAGTCAGCTGGCAAATAAAGAATAGTCTGATACTGGGCAAAATTTGTCAGGCTCATCTAAGAAGGGAAGTTCTGTGAAAAGAGAAATAAATGTGTCTCTGGTGAGATGACACAAACTTTCAGAAAAGAGGGAAGAACACAGGTCATGTGGGATATAAATCTTATAGAGAGGTAGACAGTTGCCTTTCCCTCTTCTACGTCACCTTGACTTTTTGGTCAAAGGTAGAGCTGGGGAAAAGTCTTACCATAAGGCATCCAGAATCACTGGTCTAGTAATGTTCACATCTGGCCAGTTGAATACAACCCTAAGGACTAAGAGGTCAAATGAATGCCCAAAAGTAATTCCACCTGACCCCGATACAAAGAAAATGACAAAAGACACTTATGTGCCAGTCTGAAGTCCATCTTTGGTAAGAGACAAAGGGTACGGATCTGGACTTAATCCAAACTCTCTCTAAACTTCAGGTGATCCAGCCTCTTTGTCAATTTCCTCACATGGGATATGAGTTTAAAGAGGAGACAAAGGGTACGGATCTGGACTTAATCCAAACTCTCCCTAAACTTCAGGTGATCCAGCCTCTTTGTCAATTTCCTCACATGGGATATGAGTTTAAAGAGAGTATGACAGTAGCACCTTATTTCTTCCTGAGGGCAAAGCAGAACACAGCTGAAATTGCTCAGGTTTGTGCCTCCCTGGGCAAGC